AGAAGGATGACATCAACATAGAGTATACATGTATACATTACAAAAGATGGATGATATTAACATACAGTATACAAGTACACATGATAAAAGAAGGATGACATCAACATAGAGTATACATGTATACATTACAAAAGATGGATGACATTAACATACAGTATACAAGTACACATGATAAAAGAAGGATGACATCAACATAGAGTATACATGTATACATTACAAAAGATGGATGACATTAACATACAGTATACAAGTACACATGATAAAAGAAGGATGACATTAACATACAGTATACATGTATACATTACAAAAGATGGATGACATTAACATACAGTATACATGTATACATTACAAAAGATGGTTGACATTAACATACAGTATACGTATACACATTACAAAAGATGGATGACATTAACATACAGTATACGTGTACACATTAAAAAAGATGGTTGACATTAACATACAGTATACGTATACACATTACAAAAGATGGATGACATTAACATACAGTATACGTGTACACATTACAAAAGATGGATGACATTAACATACAGTATAGATGTACACATTACAAAAGAAGGATGACATTAACATACAGTATACGTATACACATTACAAAAGATGGATTACATTAACATACAGTATACATGTATACATTACAAAAGATGGATGACATTAACATACAGTATACATGTACACATTACAAAAGATGGATGACATTAACATACAGTATACATGTACACATTACAAAAGATGGATGACATTAACATACAGTATACGTGTACACATTACAAAAGATGGATGACATTAACATGCAGTATACAAGTACACATGATAAAAGAAGGATGACATTAACATAGAGTATATACGCACACAAATAGATGTAGAATGCTATTAAAATAGATATCAACGATGACCAGAAACATACAACACAATCCGATGTCATTACGGAATAAATCACAGGAACGTATAAAGAACCAGATATCAATAAAACGAGAACTAAACAGTAAAACAGTCCATTCTTGATCTAAAACGTTCATCAGAAGATCACAAAAGACAAAAGAAGAAACCAGATACCTGATGAGGACAAAACCTTGTCGAAACGTTGTACATTTGCTGTTATATTAAAGTTTTTCTTCATTACCCATTCAAGCCGTCTCCAGCCATTATTAGTCTCAAAGTGGGTTCCTCGTTATCGAATACTATCAATATATCACACCGTCAAACACATCATATACATACACACCGATAGACCCAAACACATCAAGTTTTAGCCCCAAGCAGTACCTGTTGTAGGTTAACCCTAAATAGTGCAGGAAAACATAAACAGTCACATGACAACCACAACTATATGACAACCAGTTATATAAAAACACAGTTCCATGACACTCCATGATAGTTTAATCATTAGATTTGTAAGCAACGTTTTACTGTAAAAAAAACTGTTGATCCTCCAATCAAACGGACTTGTTGATCAGAAAATACATCGTTTGGATATACAAAAATATGTCAGTGAGCCAATCACAAAGACTGTCTTTCAAATAACCGAAGAAATTTTAATATGAGTTAATATAGTTTATCTAACCAACGAGTTATCATTGAGTTAATCACCCTATTAATCAAAGAACTAATGCTGCTTAAAATGTTGAAAATATATTATCGTACATGTCATTAGATTATCTTTCACTTACCCATAGGGTCTATTGTTGAGTGAATCAAAACATCTGTTGATAAAGTCATAGATTATCTTTCACTTACCCATAGGGTCTGTTGTTGAGTGAATCAAAAAATCTGTTGATAAAGTCATAGATCATCTCTCACTTACCAATAGGGTCTGTTGTTGAGTGAATCAAAGAATCTGTCCTTAAAGTCATAGATTATCTTTCACTTATCCATAGGTTCTGTTGTTGAGTGAATAAAAAAGTCTGTCCTTAAAGTCATAGATTATCTTTCCATTACCAATACGGTATGTTGTTGAGTGAATCAAAGAATCTGTCTTTAAAATCATAGATTATCTATGTTGAGTTTAGCTAATGTTAAAGTTTGTCTTTCAGCTAATCAAACAGTATGTCGATCATATTAAGCATATTAGTCTGTCTAATTATCCTAAACTTTGGTTCGTTATCACGTTACCTGGACACAGTAACATGATTCTTTACTTCCACAACATTTCTAGTGAGAACATTAATATCATTACTAGTTTTTATTAGAAAGTCAGATAAATATTGACACAAAATAAACAACACATATTACAATTCACACTACTGAAAAACTGAACTGAGCCTGATAAGTACAGAGTACATATCCAGGTATTTCACAAACCTTTAGCTTCTCTCAGGCAACTGAACGTAAACCCTAAATCAGCTTGTTTCACTTCTGAAAAGCTTCTTCACGCGCTAAAAACGAAATAGAGATAGAAAATATGTCGCCTTTTATATTATTGAAATAGAAGTTACATTCGATAGAGGGCGTTCATTAATGTTAAGGGAATATGTTTATAATTATATATGTTAGAATTGTACGTTTTAATTTAATGATGCTTTTTTAATTATTCTTTATGTACGATTTGTTCTTTATTCAATTTCTTTATCTCTTCGTAATTTATTTGAAGGTTTTTCCTTAATGTGCTAATCTACATGTGATAGTCCTTTTTAGATTTGTTTAAATGTTGTTTGGATACACACTTCTCACTCTTCGTCTAATATATTGTTACGTCTCCGTTTGTTAATTGATTTTCCGTAACTTCGTTCCGACGAATCTTAAGCGACACAAGTCCTTTCTTAATAAAACTGGTTTATTCTTTCCGAATATAACTTTACCGATACACTCAACTTTCCTGTCACATAGACACT